AATTCATTGGGGATCGGTGCTTTCATTGCTCACTTCTGCTTCTGAACACAAAGATGTGGACAAAGAAACAGGCAGCCAATGCTGCTGCACCTCCCCTCACTGTTGCAAGCCCCTACCCCTCTGGCTGAAGTGACTTCCAGGTCATTTAAAGGATCAGTTCCCCCTACCCCTTGCTTCATTTTTCTCTTTTCCCCCTTCTGAGAGCCAGAGAGTAAAGACTAGAACATTGAAAAGCAACCGCACTTACAGCTAACATTAGAATGTGATCATGCGTGATCAGAGAATGGTGCAGGCTTAGAAAAGACCCAAGAAGACCTTAAGTTTACACTTCAGGCCGATTCTTGGCACAAAGATGGCCTACAACATTAAAAACAAAACCAACAAAGAAAAACCTAGCAAACCCTGTGGAAGAGGGATAAACTTATTTCCAGAGTTACCACATTATTATTTTTTGTATTACTTATATTTAAATATATTTATATATATATTTAAATATATTTATATATATATTTAAATATATTTTTATATATATTTAAATATATATTTATATTAAATATACCCCTTCAACAAAATATAACAAGCCACGAAAAGAAATAAAAAAGTATGGCCCATTCAAAGTAAAAAAAAATAAAAATAAATCAACAGAAGTTGTCCCTGAAAAAGACTTGATGACAGGTCAACTAGACATTAAAACAACAGTCATAAAGCTAATAAAAAAAACCTCAAAGAAGATGTGGAAAAGTAAAGAAAATAATGTATGAGCAACACAGAAATTTTGATAAATAGAAAACAAAAACAAAAAATTCTGGAGCTGAAAAGCTCAATAACTGAAGTGAAAAATTAACTAGAGCAATTCAAAGGCAGATTTGAGCAGGTAGAAGAATCAGTAAACTTAAAGACAGGACAGTGGAAAGTATCAAGATTGAGGAACAGAAAGAAAAATGACCAAAGAAAAATTACCAGAGCCTAAGGGGGCTGTGGATTAATATATGCATTGTGGGGATCCCCAAAAGAGAAGAAAGGGGCAGAGAGAGCTTCCAAAATTTGATAAACACCCAAGAAGCTTAATGAACTCCAAGAAAGGCCCAAGCTGAAATACTTTATAATTAGACTTTCAAACGGCAAAGAAAAAAATCTTTTAAGCGGCAACAGGGAAACAACTCATTACATACAAGGAATCCTCAATAAGATTACCAACAGATAATCATAAACTGTGGAGGCCAGAAAACTATAGCACTTGGCATATAAGATAAATTCCTTGTATGTATGTATATATTTCATACATATATACCAAACACTTAAAACTGTGCAAAGCACAGAAATAAACATCTGGACTTTATTTAAAAGGTCAATGTATATCAAATGGTGCAATTTATGGGGATGTGTGATCTTTTCATGTGGATTAGGTTGAGACATGTCTATAATAAAGGATTGCATTAGTTAGGGTTCAGTTGGGAAAAACAAACAAACAAAAAACCCAGAAGGAATTTATCATTACCAGAAGTAGCCCAAGAAAGCAAATGCTCAAGATGGGATTCTGGACCTAGATTACTCTCCAGTCTCCCCATTGCTAGTTCATGACCCCAGTGTACTTTTACTAGTGGTAGATTTGAAGTACTGGTGGAAGGGGAGCTTTAGCATATGTGGGAAGCAGTAGCAATTAAACAGTATGGCACAATGTAATTTTAAGGATTGTGGGTCACCTGTTCTCAAAACGGACTTTAGACACCATGAAAAAAGAAAATGACAGTCTCAGGTTAGCCAACTACAATTTGAAACATGATGTGAAAGTCAGAAATATCCAGGGTAGTGTGTCATGACTATTATTTCAGCAGCCATGGGACAAACAATGCTAAAGATCAGGCCCAGGATTTGCAAAATAGTGGCAGAGCCACAACAAATACAGGCATAGCCTTGAAGATTGTGAATTCAAAGTGAGACTAAAACCTAGGATGAGGACATTTGGTAGAAAAGTCAGAGAAGCTAGACCCCTCAGAGCCCTCTCCCTTGCTAAAGGAAAGAAACCTCCCTTTGTCAGAATAACTTGCAAAGTTCTCACTTGTAGCAGGTACTCCAATGACAATGCTTGTCCTCTTGAGCGAGCCATGCATCCTTTCTTTAAGACTCAGGATCAATAACTAGGGTGACAGCACAGCACAGCTTGAGCAGAGCATCTACATCAGAAGAAAATAGCTCTCACATCCAAAGAATTCTAAGACCTGGCCTAACATTATGAACAGGACCTGAAGAAACATGTGGAAGTGGATCTTGAAAGTATTGGACCAGCGAGACCCGAATAAGCCTGCATAAAGAAAAATTTATTGACACAGTAGCACTCTAGTGATTCAAGATTTTAAAGTCTTAGCAAGGAGTCCTGGAGGCAGTTCTGATATCCTCCTTGAAACGGTGTGGCAAGTTGTGTTCGTTGGGAAGCATACTCCAGATGGGGATTAGTACACAGGATATGTATTAATGAGTGCTCTCAGAATCAAACCCTGTAAAAGGAATCAGGACTGAACCAAGGAAGTAGGGGGGTCACAATGCAGCCTCAACAAAGGCACCTTGAAGAACCCTGAAGATGGGATGGCCTTTCAGAGTTGCTGAGGTGGACTAAGACCGATCCTTTATACCCACGCGTTGCGTAGGCATTGGATGTAGGCTGCCCCACTAAAAGGGGTCATTTGGGGCTCAAAGTGCTGGTGTACAAGCAAAAATTCATCACACTGGTGTGAGTAGGTAGGGTTTCTGCTACGCAATAGTATTGCAGCTACACAATTCACTAGGCAGCTCTGTGTTCTTTCAAGCCCAAGGATGAGTGGGCAATTTCAGTAACCAGCGCCCAAGAAATATAAAAATGTCGTTGGGGTGCTAGTCTGGGTCTCCCTTTCTTAGGGAAGCAACCTAAACCCACTGTGTTGGTGCAAAGCTGAGTAAAATTTGAAATGCATAATGGCAAAGGAAAGATGGCAAATACTGACCACAGCCTCGGGGCAGCTGTGATAATGGGCTGTACCTTGTTCCACCGCTCCTTGTAATGAGATTATTGCATCATGACCTAGAAGGCTGTGATGAAATGGACTTAACAGTGGGTCCAAACAGATCTCAGTGGTACAATGGGTACACTGTGTTGTCACTCCTCCGAGCTGCCGCACATGAATTCTTAACTCACCATCTTACTCTCACCACTGCCTTGGCAACCAGTTGCACACAAGAGTAAGTTGATAGCACTTTGCCTCAGCCATACTGCATGGTTGTTTTCTGCACCCCACCACCCCATTTCTCCACTGCTATTGTATGAGATACCTGCAGGAACCTACTTAGAGAATTTGATTGATGTACAAACATGGATAGGAAAAGGAATTAACACGCATGGGGTAACTGTCCCCTCATGGGAGATGGAGCCTGTAAGTAAATTCTCTCCTCTCCCATCCTTCATAAAAAAACAATGTTCTATCTGCTCCTCAGAGGGTCTGTGGTAGCTTTATGGCCTACTTGCCCACAGAGGTTACCAGCTCAATAAAGTACCCTTGACTTGGACTTCTCTCCTTCCCAACTGTATTCTTCCTAGTCCCCTACTCTGCTTTCATGGGATCATTTCTCCAAGTAAACTACCTTCATTCAAGTCCTTGTCTTGGTGTGTTTTTTGAGAGAACCATTTCATGATATTTAGTTTCTTATACCCATTTTACCAATGAGGATGCATTTTGTCCAAGGTCACATGATGAAATGCAAGGACGTTTGGTGAATGTCATAACTGCCCTATCTTAGGAGTCTCTTCTTCATAAGGCAGTATCCTAAAACTTGGCTTCTTCAAGGTCCACTTAAGGGATGAGTAATTCTACTTTTGAAGAACTTCCTCAAGGCTGGACATCAAGGCCTCTGTAAAGAGAGGGTCCTCGAGGTCAGCAGGCCCACATTGAATCCTTGGTAGAGAAAGCAAACCTGTAGGCATTGAGTTTTCACCCTGGAGATTTGTCCGTTAGTAACCTGGTCCAAAATGAGCTGCCATTACCTTCTCTTGGCACTTATTAAGCTGGACAGCTGTGTTTAGTTTTTCACTCTCTTCAGGAATAACCTGGTCTCTATCATACTCTGTCTTAAAATCATTTTTCAACTGGATATCCCTAAACATAGTTTTTGGAATTCCTAAATATTTTACTGTACCCTTTCCTTCCCCCTCCTAACATTCTAAGATTTAAGATAACTTTACACTGAATAAAACACTTCATTATTTCCTCGTGTTAGAAACAGAAGAGAGTTGGAATGTGAATTCTTGCAGGACAGGGAGCCTGTCCGTCTTATACCCCCCAAAACACCTTGTTCATAGTATTTTGTCATCTGACATAATAGTTAAGATTCTTAAGCACCTCCCTTCTGAGCTGCTACAGACTTAAAAGGCAGGGCTGCTTTGTTTAGGCAATGTTTGTTGAATGAACTTACTCTAGGTTTGGGCAGGTTCACCTGTTTACATTGGGATCTCAGCAGACCTGTGTGAGGGTGTCTAGTAGTCAGGATGGGCTAGATGATGCCTTAACAAACCTGTATCATATTAAGACACTATGATTTATCAGTTGTTTCTCACACTACGCATCCTATGTAGGTCAGAAGGGGAGCTCTGCTCATCGAAGTCACTCAAGTATCTAGGATGAGGTCTGATCTCAACATGTTTTTATGAGCATCAAGGCGGGGAACGGGATTAAGGCAAATTGCACACTGGCTCTTAAAACCCCACTAAGAAGTGACACATGTCCTTCTATGCAGATTTCTTCAGCCATTGTAAGTCTCATAACTATGACTAACTTCTGAATCTATTCTAAACAAAGTAGAATCTATTCTAAATAATGTAGTTTTCACCAGAAGAAGAAAAAAAAAGTAGCATGAATTTGTACTTTTTTGCCTGAATTACCTTGGCTCTCCCTACTTGGCTTTGTAAGAGATGTACTGACCTAGACACAGACACTTATCCTGCCCACATAGAGTAAAAAAACAAGACAAAGGTATGCAGTTGCAAAATGGCCATTTATTGCCTACAGGGAAAGAAAAGTGAAGGAGAGAAGGGGAAATACACAGGTGGGTGCAAGGAAACAAGCATATATTTAGCCCTATACATCACGTGTGAGCAGTACCCAATCTCCAAAATGGAAAAAAGTATTTTGTCATCTGACGTAATAGTTAAGGTTCTTAAGCACCTCCCTTCTGAGCTGCCACGGATTTCAAAGGCAGGGCTGCTTTGTTTAGTCAATGTTCACATTAATGAAAAAAACTACCACTCAACTGTGTCCTTTTGCACACACACTTTGTACAGTGTCTATTGTGAAAAACATCTCAGCTGAGCAGCTTGGTCAAGATTCAGACCTCATCAACTGTTTAACTGTAATAAATAGAAAAATAAATCAGCTGGTGATTTTGTCAAAGAGAATGTGTTCGGTAAGAGTAGAACCACCTTCTCCAGGGATGACAGAGTGTTAAATGATTAGAACACTACAGAACCAATCTATTAAACATTAAACACTAGTAAGCTACAATTACATGGCACTTCATTAAATCTAATTTTTTAAAAAAGAAAACCTTAGATTTTAAACTGATTACTAGAATACAATAACAAATNGATGACAGAGTGTTAAATGATTAGAACACTACAGAACCAATCTATTAAACATTAAACACTAGTAAGCTACAATTACATGGCACTTCATTAAATCTAATTTTTTAAAAAAGAAAACCTTAGTGCTAGACTTTTTCTTTTTAGGACAAAAGCAAAATAAATACACAACGGAAAACAGATTTGTTTTGGAATAGTATCAATAGAAACTACCAAGTATTCAGGGAAAAAATTACCAAAACAAGTTGCTCAGTTTTAAACTCATGTATTTGCTTTCAACCATTAAACTAGTTACAAAAACACTTTCTAGGCCACAGAATGACTCAAGTGTATGCAAAACAATCAATTTAATGCCAAGTACTGAAAATAAATGAACCCTTCCCAATTCAAATGATAAACTGAGTAGAAGACTAAGTCATCTCATGGACAATGAGTTGGCACTTGTTTTATAGTCAAAAGAAATCACAATAGAAGATACAAATTAATTCATGGTGAATTTGACCAATACCTGGCCCTTTCAGAGAGAAAAGGTACATATATACTCTTTCTCTTAAAAAAACCTAACAAAAATCTCCATTCGTACCACCCCACTCAAGATAACAAAAAGCAAAACTGAAATGTACACCCTCCTCAAAATACTTCGAGTGCTCCCATAAACTCTATTCCTCAGTCTCTCCTAGATGAAAGAATCGCTTGCATTTGGACAACTGTACGAATGCCCATAGTGCACTTCTCAGTGCTGCTGGTGTTTACGAAGTTTGCCACTCATGACACCGAACAATTCCCGATCCAGTGTGCAGTATCACAGCCATTCAAACCTCCCCCCCCAAAAAAGCTGGCAGAGCACCGCTCAGGAATTTCAAAGGTAAGGGAATATATTTTTAGCAAGTCAAGCAGAGGAAGGGCAGTACAGTTTCTGCACACACACCCAGACTATTGTATCGCTTACTGCATCAAGGCTGAAACAAGTAGCAGGAAACTAAGCCTATTCAGTAAGAAGCAAAGCCATTATCTGACACATCAACGCTGAGCCAATCCTGTGAATTAAAGATAACTAAACAAATGTGGTACATATAACTACTGCTAGCTTGAAAGCAAACACAGTCATGTATCAGTATTTAGAAATTAACACAAAACTGAAATGAGCAAGAAAGGACCACTTCTTATGCTTCAGAGTTAAAAGTAACAGACATACCAACAGGGAAATTAGCTAAATTTGGGGAGATTGCTATAAAAAAAAATAATTACTAACAGGAGCCAAACTATGCCTTCTGAAAGTTTCTGAAAAGCTGAATGTACCGATGCCAAAAGAACTGTATCACTTGGCATTTGCAGACCTTTTGCAGTGTGATTTATTTCTGATGACATAACTTCTAATTTCAAGACAACGCTGTTTATACTACGTGCCATTAAAAATTAACATTTAATAGGCAGAAATGTCTTTATTTCATATGCTTTGAATGTAAAAACTATTTTACTTAAAAACTTCCACTGCTTCAATGGCATGTTTGTTGAATAAAACCTCAAGGTGCTTGTTTTCCTTTGGTTCCAAGAATAACCCAACTCTAACGAAACAAACTTATTATGCCAAAAGAAATTACTAACTAGGTTAATAAAGCTTGCTTTTCCTGGTGTCTCCCTATTTCTTGCTGTAGGACTTGTGATTTAACAGAGAAACAGACATAAAGACGGTATTTGGTTTAAACAAGAAACATGCACGCTCCCCCTTACCACCTTCTTAAAAAGAAATGTTGGTTCCCCCCGCCCTTTCTTTCTGTGGATCTTGTTCAGAACACTCTGCAGTATAGGTATAAGGATTTTCTTTTTATCCTTAAGCTTTTAGGTGACACCTACACAATAAAGATTTACATTATCATTTTGTAAAATGAAAGATGCTGTTGGCATCCTGTTCTTAAACAGAGTACAACTTTGGTAAATAAGCCAGGTTTATAGATGTACTAATTTACTTATGCTTGAATTCAAATTTGGTGATCATGATGCTATTAAAAAATTTAAATCACCCAAAGCAACCACAGTATAAAATTTCTCAGCTGTGTATAATTCCAAAACTTTAGTTGAAGTTCCTGGCTTAGAAAAATATTCTAATTTCCCTAGTTAATTTGTCTACCTATAATTCAGAGTTCTATAAAAATGATACAATTCAGAAGAAAAAGGTTAAACAAATCTTCTACACATATTCAGAAAGGTTTTTTTTGTTTTTTTTTTAAAGAAAGAAAGAGGAGACTGCCTTACAAATGTGAAAATTCACATTTCTGTCAAAATCATGGATGAATGAGTGCTATTTTGAAAATGTGCCATAAAGTCTTTGCTTGCTATAAACCATTATTCTTATGGCCTGCCAAAGGTATTAGAAACTGGTGATGTTTTCTGGGACTGATACTACTGATCAGTCAATGTATTTTACAAAGCTATTAAAATCCCTCAGAAACTCAGAATATAACACCTTAGAAACAAGTGAGTACTGGGACACAGTCAGTTTTTATTGCTAGAAAATCTAGCCTTGGATTAGAAATGATGAACCATATGTCTGTGGTTCTATCAAACACACTTAACCTATTTTTTTCTTGTGCTTTCTCTGTGCCTTGCTATTTGATTTCAACATATAGGTGGCATTAGTGATTTTTAGAAACTCTTAGAAATTCAAATACAAACTTAATTAGAAGATATAATTTTAAAATGGAGCACAATACGTTTGCCCATGTTCCAGTTTTAATATGCCACATCCTCAATTCTAATATAACCCCCCCATAGAATCAAGTGATATGAACGGTAGATATCTTCCAACTTTCTCCCTCGCTTCTCTGTGATTTAATACATAACCTTAAGACACCAAAGAAAAGGGACAAATTAGAAATGAAGCTTTATATTTCTGCAAACTACAACACTAAAACACAGTGGCTTCTTTAATACATTCACACAGGATGCTTATTAGTAAAATTAAATATTTGCCTAAATATCAGAAAAGTAATTTGAAAACAAAGAACTTGGAACAAGGCAAATGGGAGGGGGAAAGCTGGTCTCAGAACCCATTGTGCCATACCTGACTTTAAACATGTGATATTCAAACAATCGTTCACACACCTTACATCAAAGAAATGAAACAAAAATATTCAGCTACGTTGTACAAAAATTTTTTTTTACATAAAACATCATAAATCTTGAACAGATTTACTATATCTGAATTCTAAAAAGTTGCCTATAGAATGGTGCTGGGATTCTGTTCTCTGCTTGCTTTTAGGCAGTGCTGTTGCTTAAAAGTTGACACCAGGCACAATATTTTAAAACAAAGTCAACAAGCAAGGAGCAGTAAGTGGATCTGAGCCTTTCCCAGATGTCAGTCCTGAGGATGCTGCGATATTCCCCGTCACAATGTGTAAAGCTATGAGGCGGATACTGATGCCTGAGAGAGTGGGTGACTTGACATGCACTTGCATGGCTGCTGTAACGGCAAACAGTGCAGTTTTCCCTTCCTCAAACAACACTGTTTTAATAAACTGAAAGAACACTCCAGTTCTTAGATAAATACCAGAAATCATATTTAACAGTTAAAAAAACACATTAGCACAATCTAAAAATGCCCAAATTTTCTTTTATCTTCAGATAAAATATGCAGCAGCCCAATGGCATAAAGCTTATTAACTTATTCTGAGAACTAGAAAGTATATGAGCATAAATATTTTATTCTCATTGAATATATACCATATGTCATTCACCTCTTCTTCCTTTTGGCTTGTCACTGCCAAAGTTCCAAATGGCATGGGTTTTAACAAGACAATACGGAGGAGAGCAGCATTTCTGATCATCTGAATTGGCAGCTCAAAACAGATACCACTCCTTTTACAAAGGGAACAAAGGGTGAAGGGTGTGTGAAAGTTGGGCAGTAGGCTAAAGGGAAACCGTGCACATGAAATTTGGGTCACCATGCCCCAAGTAAGTGTGCCACCCAAAACATAACACAATTACCTACTTCAACAAAGCTACTACCAACATTTACTAAACCACATTAAAAATACACAGGATAATGAATGGTCTGAAAGAGTGCATTTGGAAGCAGAGAGAACCCAATTACACACCTTCCTGCAACAGAGTGCCTCAATCATACACAAAATAAACTTAAGCTGTTTACAATGTTTCCCAAATTTTTTTATTTTTCCCTCTACATTTAACTATTAAAAAAGTTTTTTATTAATAAATGGGCTCCTCTGTGGTTCATATACAATCATAAGTGAACTTTAAATTCCATTTTATACAAACATCTCAAAAAATATTGGGAGTGAAGTATGGTAGGAAATATTGCTCACATTGCTAATTAACATGCGTATATGAAAGGAGGAAAATGTTTTGTTAGTGCATATACCTCCAGAGCAGAAAACCCACTCAAAACAAAAGATTTAAAATAAAACATACAGTAGCTGATTACAAAAAAAGGTAATGTCCACAAAATTAAGTTTTTCATGCTATTCTACTTTCCAGTACTATGCTTCAGGTAATCAATTTGCATGGCTAGATGTTGAATGCTTGAGGTATATAACAAGGGATACCTGCACACTGAGGAAAATCTGTCATCTTAAGGGTTGTCTCTTTGTGTGTTTATTTATTCTGGTACTTTAACATTTTTAAAAGAATATTTTACTTACATCAAACTTCACTCAACTACAATGACATTCCAATTTTAATAGATGACAAACAATGCCTCATCACTAGGCACTTTTAAAAGGGAGTTTAGGCTTTACAGAAACCTTCTGATGCAATCCCATATATGATATTACACCATCCCACCACCCTCATTCCACTAAAATTACCCTTCAGGGAAATATTATATTATATAGCCTGATTAATTTACTATGGAAGAAATTAGTATGAAATAACCAAAGGAAAAGCATCATTTAAGACTAATAAAACAGCCTAAGATGTCAGGTTTGAAAGAGGAGACTAATTGTATATATTTAAAACTAATTAAATAATTTAAATTTGACTTGTACTTTATATATTAGTGAGACACAAATATAGGCTATTTTCTTTTAAAATTTCATTCACATAATGGAAAATTTCTTGTTTATTAAAAATATCACATTTTGAGACTAGAAACAGTAAAGTGCATGAAAAGTTTAAAATATAAATTCAGAAAACTCTTATAGCAGCAAAAAAGCAGAATAAAGAAAAACTTAAAAACACAGACACAACCTTTTCCTGTTACTGTGCCATAATTAACATCAAGTAGCCAACCAATTTTCCCCCCAGAAAACAATATTGTCTTCACTGCCTCTTGAGTCACAGATTTTCAACTGGCCCTCATGGGCAAAAAAAGGATTCCAACATATCTAAAGAGTATCAACAGTTGGGAATAAACCAGTAGCTTCTTAATTCAACCCTGACAGACAACAGAAACAAAGATTTAAAGCATATAACGGCCATTTGGCAACTAGAGTCAGGAAAAATGATCCAAGATTTTCAACTACTCCCTGTCCCTCTCCCCTAAATCCTTTCTATTGTCGCCTCAAAAAGCCAAAGCCAAAAGCCACTTGACCTACTTTGGGAAATACATGAAATATTTGAATAGCTTTCCCCTTCTAAAACTTTGCTCAGGGTGTTTTCATTCAGTAGGTTTCTTTTAACATTTGACTATAAGAGCAAAAATGACATAAATCATATAATATGTTTCTCCAGCACAACCAGGCAGTAAAGGGTAGATGGGGATAATGAAAAATACTGGGCACTAATTTTGTGGGCTTCCTAAATATACCAGAAAACCCTATTTTCAAAATGTGTGGTAGTAAAATCACCTGCTGTTTCCCTATAAATAAACTGGAGAGACAGGCTTGGAATTAATACTTCTAATAAGGCTACAACTAAAAGGGGAACAAAATTCAGAGTGATTCCTCAAAAAACAAAAAACCAACAAGCATTTGCCCAACAAACTGTCATGTGCCGTTAACTGCTTGATTTTGAAAGCATATTGTGCAACCATCCTAAATTTCTCAATTTTTCTTATTATGGCTAGAGGCTATATCATAGTTTATGTACAGATCTAGTAAATTTAAGTGCTTTGTTAATGTGCAAATGATTTTGGGAGCCAAAAATCAGTTTGTTATAATGGAAAAAAAAAATTCCAGAAAGTTTTCCCTGCAAGGCATACCATCAAGTTTAAAATCTTACACGTTTTTAAAAATTGCCCTTTACAAAAATGGTTGGCTCATTTGAAACCATTTAAAGGAAAATATTTGTTTTGGGGGGGAAAAACACACTTGTTGGGCCTCGAATTGGTGATTTATCAATTATGAATGCTGACTCCTAATATAATATGAAGAAGGTCCAATTTAAAATCATGTTATAAATTAAAAATTTGGAAAGAGTAATACTTTGGTTCCAGCTCTAGTGCCAAATGATGCCAATATGCACAAAAATGTACAAAATCTTATAGCAAACACATAATGAAAGGAACCTGAAGAAGCAGCTTAAGGATGGCCATACTTCACTCCTACATACTTTGATTTACAACTGTACAGGTCCATAGCAACGGATCCCCGTCTTTGCGGGGCAGTACTCCACTACCTCCGATTAGGCAAGTGAACACCATTGACAAGAGGCAGGAGTGGAGGGTGGAGTTCAAGTTGTGTTAACAGTGAGAAGTGGTCTGAAGGGATGTGTGGGTGTGGACACCCAGTGATGTTGTTCTCAACCAGCCATTGAGGATCTAAAGGCCCCAGGACACCAAGCACGTTCATATGAGTCTTGGAATAGAAAATGTAGTCAATCACGCCCTGAAAAGAGATTAGGGTTGGGAAAAAGGAGAAAAATATATGCTTAGAAAAAAGAAACACTTAAGGTATATAAAGAACAATCCATAATTTGCAAAAGCCAAATACCTGAGTGACCTGTACTTCTGGTTGTCTTAACAATGGGTAAAATAAAGCTCAAGTCTTCAATGGGTATTACGTGAAATAAAGGTGGTTAAATAGGGAAACATAGTGCCCTACTGAAATCACAAAGTCTTACACTTGTGCATAAATGATAAGCAAACTGAGAAGCTAAGCACCCCAAATTATTTCTACGCATCTTTAGAATTTGCTTGCTTGGGTTAGTAAAATCTAACATATCAGTATAATCATTATAGAAATTGCAATAATTCTAATAGTTACAATAAATAAAAAATAAGGATTTTATATGAATACATATATAATTAATGAAAAGGTATCCCTCAAATTAATTCCTTTAATGATAACTGGAATTATTTTCAATTATTTGCACATCAAGATATCCAAACACATCTGAAAGCAGCCATGGTAAAGCACCTTTTCAGAATTGTTAATCCTAGTTCAGTTTTCCCCTATTTGTTACATACATACAAAAAACTGCATACAGTTAATTGTTCTAATCTGATCTTTAGAATACTCATTTTCACAAATCCTGGTATACTCTAAATTCTGGATTCCTTCCTTCCTAACAATACCTTAGCAAAAAATATTCATCAGGAACCATATATATTATCAGTTGTCTCTCTCAGAGTTTGTCTGATCAGTAGATTTCAAAACTATCCTGCTTTTACTGCCCCAGGCTGTGTATGCAAGAGTAAAGTCAAATTTACTTCCTACCCATATCAAGAGAGCCTGAGCCTGGCAGGCATGGCTCAGCGGTTGAGCACTGAACTATGATCCAAGAGATCGAGGTTTGATTCCCAGTCGGGGCACATGCCAGGGTTTCGGGCTCCATCCCCAGCAGGGGGCATGCAGGAGGCAGCTGGTCAATGACTCTCTCATCACTGATGTTTCTCTCTCTCTCCCTCTCCCTCATCCTTCCTCTCTCTGAAATCAATAAAAATATATTTTTTTAAAAAAAGAGGGGCCTGAGCCCCAAGCATGAAGAATCATCTCCAGACCTGGAAGTATCTATTTACAAATACTATAAATAATGAGTTTCACAGTTATATGCTTCACAGTGAAATGAGATACTTTACGAAAAAAAAAGGAAAAAAAGAAAAAGAACTTCTAATTTAAAAAAATTGTATCATAAAATTCTGAGAATAATTACCTTAGTTTTCTGATTTTGACAGGGCCAAGACCAAAATAATAAAACAGTTCTTTAACCTTACTTTATCACAAATTAAGAAACCTACTTGAATCTACAAGTGGACTTTCGGCCACTAATACTCCAAGTCCAAACAGTCAAATCATATTAGTACTAGGTATTATCCCTTCATTTGGTTAGTCTACTTTTGCAGTGACATTTTAGAAAAAAGGTTAACAAGGGTCAGAGTGGTCTTATTTTTCTTTATGAGACTACCATTTTCTTCAGCAATAAAGTAAACAAAACACAAATAAAATATTCTCAATTACTTATGTTGAATAAAACCTCCTATATTCTATCACTTTATTAGACTGTCATTATGCACACCAGCTGCTAGTTAGAATCCTCTGCAAACACAGGCCCCAAGAAAAATGTTAGACACTCCAGAAAGTAAGATTTTTTTTTAAACAAATTCTTAATGTTTTTATTAAATCTATTGGTGTGACACTGGTTAATAGGATCATATAGGTTTCAGGTACGGATTTCTGTGACAAGATCTGTATCTTGCACTGTGTGCCCACCACCCAAAGTCAATTAAGATTTAATTGGCGTAATAGCTTGTAACTATTCCTTGGTTTGAAACATCATAGAGTAAAAACCTCTTATCAAATCATTTAGCAAGATCATGTCTGTGAACCTGCCCAAATATTTGTGCATATGCACATACATTTGTCCACTGTATCATTTTCACAAAGGAGGTTACAGACTGATTCTTAACCTTTTTTGATTCAAACTGTTTCTTTTTTTATAAAAGACTATAATATGGAAAAGTAGCCTTTATATTAGTAAAGACTATATTAAGTCTGTAGACCTGTATTTGGGAAAAAAACAATAAAAATAGCTTACGAGCTAGCATTATGCTAAGCTTTGTTTTGTAAAAAAAAATGTTAGAAAATTATAAAAAATATTTTTCATAATTTAACAAAGATTTACTACTTGACATAGGAATACTGTCCTTTTTCATTAAATGGTTCAGGCACACCCTTAGATTCAGGAAGAGCAGGGTGGGGAGAGCAGCAGAAATTCTGAATTAAGCTGTTTATTCAACTTACGGACTGAATGTTTGTGTACCCCCCAAAATTCGTACGTTGAAATCCTAACTCCTAATGTGATGATTTTAGGAGGTGGGGCTTTGGGAGGTGATTAGATCATGAAGGTGGAACCCTCATGACTGTGATTAGTGCTCTATAAAAGAGAACCCAGAGAACACACTCACCCTCTCCACCATGTGAAGATATAAGATATAGCTGTCTGCAACCCAGAAGAGGGCCTTTATCAGAACCTGACCATGCTGGCACCCTGATCTTGTACTTCCTGCCTCCAAAACCAGGAGAAATACATTTCTGTTCTTGTATAGGCCATACATTCTATGGTACTCTGCTATAGCAGCTCAAATTCACTAAGATACCTGGTCTGCAAGTAATTCTCCTAACTGTTTACCCCTTGGGTCCCTCCAAATCAGTTCTAGATTAAATGAATCTGAGTTCTAAGTACCACTTTTCTAGATTTCTACCTTATTCAAGGACTGATAAAGTAAACAAATGCTAAGTCAAGTAAATAAAATTTAACAACACTCCACTGATGCAATGGCAGGACATTGCATTTGGATCTGTATTTAATGCTAGTCACAGGACATTTTTATCTTTGTCGTTACCTATCCTTTTTTACTGACTGCTTTTAATATTGGTATATAACTATTTCCCATATATGCCTCTTTTCCACAGATTTCTATACCTCTCCTTTCTCTTCCTATCCCACATACTGAAACAGCAAACAGTCTCTGAGCCATGTACTTTTGGTTCTTTAACTATACTTATTTGGGCAATGTAAATGGTTTGATGAGAATATTAAAAAAATTTTTTTTGTATGTTTTTATTGATTTCAGAGAGAGGAAGGCAGAGGGAGAGAGAAATAATGAGAGTCATTAATTGGCTGTCTCCTGCACACCCCCTGCTCGGGATCAAGCCCACAACCCAGGCATGTCCCTGTCCGGGATTTGAACAGTGACCTTCTGGTTCATAGGTCAGTGCTCAACCACTGACCCACACTGGCCAGGCAAGATTTTTGATTTAGTAACACATGTACGATCTTTTGAAAAACAACAACAAAGGATTTCAAAACAATTCAAATGACTGAGATGAATAATATCCCAAATTTTGTTTCTCTAATTTTAACTTTATGAGCAAGGCAAAAGTAACCTTTATGAAAGCCTAGATGAGGTAGAAATGATTTGGTCTTTTTACCTACACAAATACCAAAACAACAATACAAGTTGTAGAATTACTAACACTTCCTTTAGGTTTACTGGGATTGTGCTGGCAGAGATGTATTACACTCTGTGTCTGTGTTTGATATATATCACTATAGTAACAAAAATAGGAATTAACCTACAGCAAACTGTGTATCATTAAACCTGGAGGTTTTCCTTTAAGCTTACACAAGACTAACACTGTGCTAGAGTCAGCGAGTACCTGCTTTCTTAGCACTTCATCCAAACTGTGTTCAATGGTATTATGTTAGGAGCTTGAAATCTTCTACAGTGAGAGTACTTACACCACAGAAATCAGCAAACACTACAAATTAGGGCTTAATTTTCCCAGAAAACTAGCTATTAAGTATTTACTAGCACATCACTGCATACGAGTGATTTGAACAAAACCAAGTATTGCTGGATAGTATTGTCTACTCTAACAGTAAAAATACTAAAAATTAGATTTAAGTTCTCAACAATTTTTTTCCACTTCATGATTACAAAAGCAGACTAGTTATATTAGTACATGACTTTCCTTTCTTTTTCCCAGTATTTGTTCCTTTTAAAGGGTCTAACAAGCACTGAAAATGGAAAAAGGTTACTGGACATGTGTAAGAGCCCATTTCATAAATTTCATTTGGTATTTTGTTAAATCCCCTCTAGGCTTTTTACACTAAAACACTTTTTTCCAACATCTGCATTTTTTTTTCCAGGACAGTTTAAGATTTTAGGATAGATGCCTGAAATGCTGGAAAATCAAACAGGCACAACAGAAGAGCTGTAGGCAGAGAGAATGATCAGAAAATTAGCAAACAGAAAAGAATTAACTACAGAAAACCACTAGTCAATCTTTCTAAAGAACAACTGGTCTTGCACAATAGGCCCTCCATGGAAATATTTTTCCTATTATTAAGCTGGAGTGTTCCACTGCTGAGGAATATTTTATTATGACTACATGGATGTAAAACAGACCCTAAGTACAACCATCTCCCAAAGAAACCTAAATAACTTAAAGATAAATACAATGAAAAGTACTTAGAAAATTTTGAGAGAATACTATATAAATTCATTCAAGGTAAATTTAGTCATATCAGGTTGCTTATTATTTGGATCCTTATTGAGAGTTAGGGATGGTATGAACTGGTGAAATTTAACTGTATTAATAAATGCAAGTGCTTCCAGTGCCTGGCACATACTAAGCATTTTGGGATTTTTTGCTGTTATCAAATATTATTTGAAATTTGAACAAATAAGGGTTTAAAAAGAATTCTTAAGTCAACAATAACAATCACAAAACCTAACAAACCTCTTTACATTGAGGTGCATACTTAGCCAAAACATACTAAGAATCTAAAAATTCCTGAAGATGATGCAATTAAGTATAATATAAAACTCTCTTGTCATGTTTATATTTGAAATAACTTCTATAGCAGCCCAGAACAAACCACTCACTTTGAAATCAAAGGTGTAATTGGTGTAAGGCATCAAGTTATTTTCATAGGCGCTCTTCAGTTGGAAGCCATGTGTGATTCTCCCTTCTGAGCTTCCATTCTTTCCATTGCAGCTGAAGTTCATAAGACACTCATTGTACCTTAGTTCCTTGAAGTCTTTATGGTTATCGGCTACTCCTCCATTGCTTAAATATTCCACAACACCTAGTAGAATAAAGATGGAAGAAACAATACCATTTAGCATTTAGACCAAACACAAGATTTCATGGCCATAATTCATTGCCAGGTGGATGTACCTGGTTCAGAGTGCTTTTTACTAAGTTAAGCAATATGAAATTGCCTTTTTGTTGTTGTTTTAAAAAAAAAAAAAATCATTTCATCCGGCCAGGAGTGCTCAGTGGTTGCACATCAACCCATGAACTGGGAGGTCAGGGTTCGATTCCCAGTCAGGGCACATGCCCGGGTTGCGGACTCAATCACCAGTAGGGGGCGTTCAGGAGGCAACTGATCAATGACAGCTCATCACTGATGTTTCTATCTCTCTCTCTCCCTCCCCTTCTCTCTCTGAAATCAATAACGATATATTTTTTTAAAAAGTTAAGAGCTAGCTGGTCTTTCAAGTACAAGTAAAAGAAAACTGAAAGCTATAAGGAAATCATGTTATACATACCTGAATCTGGCAATGAGTTAAGATCTGCACATAGCACCAGCGGGATGGAATTAGGATCTGCGGTTGGGCTGCCAGGCCTACTAGAAGCTTTCTCCAGAATGTTTTTCACCTCTGAGACAAACATCATGGTCTGGATGAGTTTCACATCAGAATACTCTGGGTCCCAATGCATGTGGGCATTTGCCACGATAAGCAGCTGTTTGTCTGCAGCATGAATAGGCTTCACACCTAAATTTACACATTAGAAGAGGAGGGTAGTTATGCTTTATGTACCAAAGCAGCAGCATCTGAAGGTTTTTTTCCCCCAACCCAGAGCCACTTCTTTATCTTTTCCATTAATTTATATTGTCCCCTTTATCTCATACATAGTTCTCAGAAGCTAAAGTGCTGAGATTCTGGTAATCCCAATATAGGAATTACTCTAGATCAGGGTTGGCAAACTGTAGCCCGTGGGCTAAATCTGGCCCTACAGTTTACGTGAGCAAAGGCTGCTTTTACATTTTAAACGAGTTCTACAAAAAAAATTTTTTTAAAGACTGCACTAGAGGTCACATGTGGCCCCCAAGGCCTAAAATACTATCTGGACCTTTACAGAAAGTTTGCTGACCCCTGCTCTATATGCCTAAATTAGGAGTTATGCCAGGATGCAACCAATATTTGATTATAATACCTTGACTTGCTGACTTCTTAGTGTAAAGAAGCACTTTAAATATCTGTCATTTAAATATCAATATAACCTACTGAGGCAGGTCTTCAGTTATTTGAGTTATCTAAACCTTAATTTAAATTCTTCCTGCAGCTCAATACTTGTTCATCTTGTATTTCCTGAGCACATTAGTGATAGGTCAATAATGAAAAAGTAGTAACATTAACCTATACAAAATAAAATGAGGAAGTGAATTTCCTACCAAAACAAATTCATACCATACACCCAAAAGGTCATCTAAAAAATGAAAATAAGGGAACAGTGTGCACTCAGTCAGGACACCTGGGTTTTCTACCTGGCTTTATTACTAATTATTTTGTGTGGTCTTGGGCTAGCTACTTTTTGGTGCTTAGTTTCATTTGGACAATGAAGATATTCAACTAGAAAATCTCTAAAGTTCTTTTTTCCTTAAAATTCTGTTCTTTAACTTTGTCAAAATAAATGTTAGCATAGTACTTTCAAAATGGCAGACAGGATAATACATTAAAAACTGAAAATTAAGGCATAAAGCTCAATATGCATGATATGATGCCATTTAAGTAAAACTACATACGTATATCCTTTTTTTTTTTTTTAATATATCTTTATTGATTTCAGAGAGAGGAAGAAAGAGACAGAAACATCAACGATGAGAGAGTCATTGATTGGCTGCAGCCCACAACCTGGGCATGTGCCCTGGCCGGGAACCAAACCCCAATTGCCTAGATCCTAGGTCCACGCTCAACCGCTGAGCCACACCTAGCAGAGCCATACATATATCCTATATGTTAGTCATGTGTAAGAAATGAACAAGAGCTACTCCTACAGAATATGAATAAGGGGCCCTCTCACTTTTTATATATTTTTGCACTGTTAGAAAATGAGTGAACATACAAAATTAATTTTTCTATTGAAATTTCTATTAATGTCTCAAACTTTTATATATATATTTTAAAAAACTGCAGGAAAAGACCTAATTTTCTATGACTACTATTTTTGGAAAGTCCCCTTCCATCTTACTAAGCTATAATTATCTTTGAAGTATCTGTATCTGTTATATGTGACAGAAATACAGTGGAACCTCAGTTCTCAAAGGCTGTTCAAGAAACGATTTGTTCAAAAACCGAATCGTTTTGTCCTATTAGAAGCAATGTAAATTGAATTCATCTATTCTGGACCCCCAAATAATTCCCTGCTTTAACCTTTCTCAATTGCCTGTGATTGTTGTTTTGTGAGCACTTTCATACCCTTAGCAACACCACAACTCTCAATGGTTTCTTTGTTTTAAAATTGTGCAAATCATCAGTTTTGCCATGCCATACTTAGTAGTCAGATCAGACATGCAAACGCCCCCATCATACTTTGCAATTATTTCATTTTGAAGTTCTAGCATTGTTCTCAGAACTTTCCTTTTAACTTTGCTGCTATCACTAACCTTCTTAGGACCCATGGTTACTTATTGTACATATTTCATAATAATAAGCAGCAACAAAAAACCCTGAAAATATTCATAGCACAATTTCCTGAGATGTTAACACGAGGTTTAGTGGTGAACTGAGTCATACTCGTGCATTCTCTTCTTTGTAGCCTGAAAGATGCATGACTGATCACACAGGTATCAGCATGAAAGGGTTGTCCAGTGGAGAACTGAAGTTTTGTTTAACAACCAAGACATTTTTTCAGTGAACTGGGTTGAGAACAAAACTGGTCAAGATGGGAGACGTTTGAGAACCAAGGTTTGTTTGACTGTAGTCATTTTCAAAGCAATTTGATCATAGGATAAAACCTGCAGCCAAAATTCTCTAAGCTTTCTTCTTTTCCTAGAAGTTTTATAGTGTCACTTTTGGCTGTAGATTAAATAAATATTCACTGTATTAAATATTAAAAACTTGACCCTTCAAAGGGGTCATAAGCACTTTTATAATATTAAACTCTTCTTCTAGGAGTACAAGAGTGACAAAGATCAGAATATGTATATGTCCACTGTATAATTTATAGTTACTCTTATGCAAATTAAAAGAGTAAAACTCCAAAAGAAATTCAACTTTCACATTACCAGAAAAAAAAAGGTACCAAATTCTTGAGAAGAATGAGACTGGAAAGGATATAAAAGTAGGTAAAAATGGAGAGGCTATAGAGAAGAAAATTTAAAATATCCTATCAAAGATTGTCTTTGATGATGGATAAACTGAGTAACGGCAAAACAAAAGGAGGCCTGGCAGGTATACGTGGCCTGAATAATTCAAATAAATACTCCAGGCAAAAAGCCCTTTTCTTCTGCAGCTAGCAAGAACAAAAGAATTATAAACAAAAGCCCTGATGTGGTCTTACTCTTGCCTAAAGTATAGTTAAATAAACAAGGAAATGCTCAGAGGCAGTCTGTAGAAAGGGGGAGGAAGGTCTGGAAATGCAAAGAACATAATGAGTTTCTGACTTTGATGGAAGCTATAAAAAAATCTAAAATACAAAAGAAAAGTAGCAGGTAGATAAAAGATCTGGCTCTTACCCTGACAATGACTGATATATAACAAAGAAATTAAAGAAAATGTGCCAAGTACTTAACCTTAAAGACAAAAGCTTTTATTCTCAAGAAGCTAAAAATATGAAAAGAACCAACTCATCATAATTTCCAAATTCAGCCTATCTAAAACATTTCCTATTTCAAATAACCTTTGGAATTAATGGCATATTAAAGACTTTTCCTTTTTACAGATTACCTGGTAATATCCCAAGAAATATATGAGGCTTTACACAATTAGTGCTATTTTCCTGCCACTCTCCCTGAACTTTCCACAAAAGACAAGAAAATAAGTGCAATTAATAACAGCAAGATTCTCAGCACTTGTTTGAGACTCGAAAACTTGGGATGGTGTTTATTTTTAGTAAGAGTGTTTTAAACTGCACTCACCTGCTCCAAATAGTTCCTTGTGGACCTCTAATACCACAGCAACACCAATATTATCCTTTGTCATCACTCTGTTCAGCATAGCTTCGGATCCATCTGAATTAGCCATTGCCACTTGGTTAAATTCCACTGTATGCTTCTGCACCAATGTAAATCTACAAGGTACAATGCATTATTATTATGATATCATGTACTTGGACTACCATGGTAAAAAAACACAAGATACAGACACTATTCACTGTTTCCCTAATCATTCCTAGCAGCAAGGGGCCATGTAATACAGGTCTGGCCAATGAGATGTAAAAAGTCTAATTACCTACCGTAAAAACTTTCTTGGAAGCACCACCTAGTAATGATGGCATGTTAATTCCTTTGCCCTTTTATACCTTTGTCCATATGGTGAAAAGCAGTAGCACAAAAGCCAAACCACTATAGATGGGGAAGCAGCTGAACCAGTTCTGGATTGCCATTTCTAGATTTCTTGTGTGAGAAAATTACCCTTCCCCCATTTCTTTAAGCTATTGTTGGAATTTCTGGTATTTAAAGGTGGACAGAACCTTAACTAAGTCAGCAAGTTAATGAGAAAGAACAGAATAAAATCCACCTAACCTGTTCGCAGTTTTATTCTCACTTCAAGAGATTTATCAGGAAGATGCAGGAATACACCCTTATCTTAGCTAAGGAGAAGCCAATTTTTCCATCTGGCTTTTACTAGAAAGATGGAATGAGATGTATGTAAGTGTTCAGAGAAACTGCGTCTATAACACGAAGAATGACTCTCCCTGTGATTATAGCTTCTGCACTAATGGTATTTTCTTTCTTTAGTGCCAAATTAAGTATTGTAGAGCTGTAGGGCTTAACAGAACCAAGTCTAGCACTGACATTTAATAGCAATACGACCTCGGTCAAGCTATTTAACTTCAATCTGCCTACTTTTATTAAGACCATGAAATATTTATAAATGGCCAAAACCTACTAAATATACTGTCTACTTTTCACTCTGTGTTAAGTGGAGAGAAGACCTCTTTGTTCTTGTAACAGACTCCCACCCTACCTTCTAGCTTTGAAACAGAATCATGCCTACAAATATTGACTAAAATCTTATTATGTTGCAGGACACTGTTCTAGATGAAACAATACTCTTCTCCCCGGTCCAATTCTGAATGTATCTGATACGCTCAGAAGAAATAGAAGGTTTAGTCATGTGCCTAATCCTAACCTAGAGTGATTAAAGGGAGTATAGTTTTCATCCTCTACTCTAAAGAGGTGACCTTTAAAAGAAACATGATGGATTTGGAATTACCTGGGTGAAGAATGAGATTAAAAGCATTCCAGATAGAGGAAGAAGTGAAAGGCCCTGAGACAGCAAAGAGCTTTGTATGGAAAAGAATGTAAGGTTATAAGATGATGTTGGAGATGAGAGGAAAAGGAACAACAAGCCCCCGTCCAGTGACCCTGGTTGGAGATTCGTCCTGTACACCAAAAAGGTTACAGGCTCGATTCCTGGTCTGGGTGCTGTGCACATGGGAGACAACAGATTCATGTTTCTCTCTCACATCGATGTTTCTCTCTCTCTCTCTCTCTCTCTGAAATCAATGCACAGCCTCGAGTGAGGATTAAAAAAAGAGAGAGAGAGAGAAACAACAAGGTTCTAAGCAAGGACATGATACTGGATTTATATTTTTTAAGATCCCTCCAGCTGCTTTGTGGAAAATCGGTTATAAGAACCAGAGTGCTAATTATGAGATTAATTAGAAAGTTTCTGAGGTTGATTGGATGACAGTTGATGGTGGCGTGAACTAAGGCAAGAGAAATAAAGAGAAGTAGGCTGATTCATATGTCCTATAGGTAAAATCACCCATCCTCCGTCAGACTTTTTCAAATGCCTTTAAGCAGTGGAATACCTTTTCCAAACAATTTCTGATAAGAATCCCATATATAAAACAGAACAAAGTAGTATCATGTTTAAATAAATATAAATCACTAAAAACAATGAGTCTGTTTTGATGAATATAAAAATTTAAAATGAGAGTGTACAATGATAATTACAGTCTTACATTAGTCAGTCTTAGTATCCAATTTATTTATGCATTTTGTTTTGGTTACATGGTATTGATAAAAATCCTGACTCACATACACACAGATACAGTGGTAAATAACTGGCCTTGAACTGAGGAAAAAAACAAGCAAGCAGGCAAAAACTCAATTCAGGGGTCTCTGGATTTGGGTCCTGCTTGGGTTAATTCTCACAGGCCATTTACGTTCCAAAGCTAAAGGTGGGGTCAGCTGAGGATGTCAGGCCTGAAACACAGCTCCACTCTCTATGCCTAATTCTGCTTCTTCCTGTCATTCCTTTCCACAGTTGTTGATCCCTGATAAACTCCTGAACACCAAACTAACTCAGTCTTCTTTCTAAAGAACCAAAATTCCAAGACACAGTATTACTATTTATCCTCATTACAAAGATGAGGAAAACTGAGGCTCAGAAAGTCTTTTTGAAAAGTGAGATGGTTCATTTATCTCTAATATCCTAGAACTTCTACACTCCAATATTTGTAATAGATTACCCACACCAGTTCTTTAATCATACTTTTGCAAGGTCTTTTAGTACAATGGGATATAATTATCTTGATTTGGAAATCTAACTAGTTAAGGAAGTTTAATGACTCTCTTTGGCTTACCAATCTCGTGTTCTTGGTTTGCCAGTCTTCTCTTCACCTGGCCTTAAGCCTTTTCACTTTGAAGATAATTCTCAATAGAGATCATGAATGCAAAATAGAAGTTGTATAGCTCTAATCTCCAATTAATGATTACACAATCCATAATGGGTATATCTGTCCCTCCTTTACAGTACATAATGTTACTTAAAATATCCTTTTTTTTTTTTTTTTTCAAATATATCTTTATTGATTTCAGAGAGAGGC